TTTATTTAAATCATAAATAATACTTCATTATGATAATATTCAAATAATAAATCAATCAACTTAAATAATTTTAAAATATTATTTTTCGTATTTTAAAATATTAAACGAAAAAGAAATTAGTGAGATTTGAATAAAGTATACTAATTAAATTCCATACGAGGCCAACAGCATAGCCACTGTAACGTGGATTTCGAGATAACAGTAGCTTCTTCCAATGACAGAGCAGCTTCTGCCTCTTTAACATCAATGGATATATAATTAATACTAACTATCCCTTTTAATTACATTTTTAGTAATTAATGGTTAAAGTAATAAAAGTTTAGATTAATCATCAACAATAATTCTGTTTTTAATTCCTGTATACTTGGATAAAATAAATAATATGCATTTTCCCCTTTCTATCTCCCCTTTCTTCAAGAAAAATGATTCAAAACCCAGGTAAATGCTTTCTATGTCATACAAGTAATATATTTATCTATAAGAGTTCCCAAACATTTGAAAATATTCATTGTTGATTAAAAAAAAAAATTTGTGGATCAATGATTGGTACACTTTTAATTTAACATAATTCACACATTCAGTAAAAAATTATATGGTTCAAATTTGAATCGAAGATGGAAAAAACTAAAAACTACAAAATTTAATAACTAAATCGATGAGTATTGTGAGATGTGTTAAATTAGAAGGTGTACTAATCATTTTTCAAATTTCTGATCACAAAGACAACTTACTAATTGATTTACATATAATTTTTTTCTTAAGACATATATATATACACAAGAAAAATATTTATAGGTTGTCTTTTCAAAATTTTTTAAAGGACTTATCCAAAGCCTCATCTTATAATTAATATTTTCAAAAATTAACTACTAGATTAATAGTTTTATTCATATAGATCATACTTGTAAATTTTTAAATTGATCAAGGAGTAGGGATGGCAATTTGCCTCGATCCCTGTGGGGTCCCGTGGGAATCCCCGCCATGGGGGCGGGGCAGGGAGGAATATTCCTCCCCGCGGGGCGAGAACGGGGAGTATTTTCTCCCCGTGAAAATTCGCGGGGAATTTTCCCTATCCCACGGGGCCTCGTGGGGATCCCCATCCCCGCGAAAAATTAAAAAAATATGTAAATTAGTCTTATTTTAAATTTAATTCAACATTCAAACCTAAATTCAATTCAATAAAATTTAAATTTTATCTAATTTTATCCAACCTATTATTAACCTTTTAGTTATTTATGTTAGATTGATCTTTATTTAT